CTAGTTTTCTCCAAGAAGATGTCTTTGGCTTCGATTCACATATCTCAAAATAGATAACGAGATTCTTTGTGATTGATTCATCCCACCTCAAAGTTGCACTTCCAAGACAAAAAAACGTCCTGCCAAAAAGTTTAAAGATTTCCCTAATTATTTGGTGTGTCAATTTTGACCATTTTTCTACAAATGGGTTTGTGGTTCTTTTCAAATTGACATTCCTTCTTACCCGATTAGATTTTTTTGATACCGAAGAAACCAGTTACTTAAAAAGTACAAGTTTTGTCAATGGGTTGATGAAGAACATGTCAAATTGAACCCGGATTTTAAAGACGAGCTTGCAGTTGTTAAAAAGGTGGTTTTCTGTCTCAAGTAAAATGTGAATGAACTAAAGAGGAATTCATATAATCATAGGGTTAAAATAAAGGTAAATGTCACTGTAACCAACCAACTATTGTCACACCCCCAAACCGGAACGGCGGAAACGTTCAGAGGTGGATGACATCATGTGTAGTATCACAACCATTGCATCATAGTAATCATAGTAAACACAAACATTACATTGAATATACATGAAAAAAAAGTTTACATCTGTTTGATTCTTGCTTTTATACATCAAAAGTATAATCAAAAGAAAAAGACGTGACCCTATACGCTCCGTCTTCACAAAACTCCAGGAAGTACCTGTCTACTGATTCCCTGAGAATACAAGCAGTTTTGAAAGAGTATCAGCACAAAGCTGGTGAGTTCATAAGCGATGTTTTTGTAATGAAAACCTGTTGATGACTCGGTTAAAATGTTCGTACGTTTCCAAGAAAATCTAATATTTTCTTTAGTGAAACTGTGATGTTATCAGTTCCATCTGTGACTACTTAGTTTATGCTAGCCATGTATAAACCAATATCGATCAGACTGTTGACTATGTGGATCTGCCCTAAGCCCACAACCAAACAAGGAACAGGAAATGAGGTGGAAACCACACATTCCACAGTCTATCGAATATTTTCCATACAGGGCTCTGATGCTTAAACTAAGTAATGATAGAATTAACTCTGAATGTTCGTTACTGAAATCTATTGTAGCATAGGAAAATACTAGTTTGAATGTCTAGTTAATGCCAATCATAGTATGTATGTGTTCTGTACGAAAATCATTATATATCATGTTCCCTTTGAAAATCCTGGTTACCACTAGTATGTATAGTACGTTCTGTTTGAAAACCCTGACTATCGCCAGTATAGTAGTTTTATTACTTAAAATAAAACTAATGAAGAATGAAATCCCGTAAACAAATGGTTAGTTTATACTATTGTGAGTCGTATAACCATGCTTGATATGACCTAGTGACCTTTTCGACGTTCTTCAAGTGTCGGTTAAATGACATTTGTCACCCCAGGCATGCCTGCCTAACTGTAGCTAGCAGTTCAGGTGTGAGATTGTCAGTCCCGAATAGATCTATTCACAAATCTCACGCTCTCCCTCCAGGAGACTCTGGTTATACTATGATAGGATTTAATTCAGTACACCAAAGGGTACAGTTTTAAAGTAGAGTCTCACAATTCTGTAGTAACTAGTTTACGTGTAGTTCTTGTAGTGATCTAGTGTATTGAAATCCGTGTGTATACTGTATGAGGTAATAATTATACCTAAATAATTATTAAATGTTGTATTCTTGTAGTAGTGTATACCATAAACTAAATCGGTCATAGTTTATATGTTTACCCATGAATGAAATCTGAATCGGTAGAAGCTATGTATTGAAATCCTGAAACTATACCCACTATAGTTTGCTTGAAATGTTTTGTTCTTGATTTGTAAATTGTTCTGAAAACTATGCAATTATGTTTTTAAGTTGAAAACATCCCTTATGATCAGCATAGTACAAAAGGGATAAAATGTCTAAATGTTTCATAAAACGTGGGAATCATTTAATTGTATCAATTGCATAAGTTTTAAACTTATTGAAATACTTTTGTTTTGTTTCACAAAATCATTTGTGTTTGGCTTGTATTCCCCCATTGAAAACATTAAAAATCATAAAAACGTAGGGGTATGAACTCACAGTTAGTAGGGTACAGTGTTGAATCAATGAACTGGAATGAAGACCCTCGAGTTGTAGTGTGGCACTTAACGGAATCCTAACAACAATTAAATACATAATGTATCTAAATTAGCGATTTCGTTAGATAAAGTGTTAGGAAAACACTTGCTTTCGGTTAAGGAATGTTACCGGGACTTGATTGAATCGAGGAAAGCAGGTTTTCAGTCTAAAGCACCACTTAGGGAGTGTATACGACCGTAAATGGGGTGTACGGCCGTGAACAGGTGTACGGCCGTATACAGTGTACGACCGTAGACAGCCTCTTGAAGGGTGTACGGTCTTCGAAGGTGTACGGCCGTAGACTGGTGTACGGTCGATGAAGATTTGAAGACTTGAAGGATGTTCGGCCGTACACTCAAGAACAAAGATGCTGAAATCGATGAAAAACGTGTTCTAGGTGCTCCGAAATGACCCCCAATGGTGTTTTTCGATGTTTTCCGGAAGAATAAAGGTGCTTTTAGGGGTGTACGGTCACAAGTCTAGAGAGAGAAGGAGTGGGTGTTCGGCCAGAAGAGTGTAAATGAGGGGTAAGGTATCATATATATAGGGGTTTTTGTGGTCGGTGGGTGGGGTCCACGCGACTCCGGCAGTAAACGAGTGTACGGCCGTACACGGGTGTACGACCGTGAACCCAAGTCAGGCCGTGAACTCGGTCTTGTTCCAAGGAATTCCCAAAATTTCACGTGGTTTTGGTTCCGACTCGAATATAGAACTCAAAATATATAATTAACTGATTTTCCAAACCGAAGGAAGTTGACGGAACCCAATAAAATAAAATTTTATTAACGGAAATTAATTAACGGAAACTAGAAAAAGGTTCGGGTTGTCACAACTATCAGGTTTTGTTTTAAAAGGTCCCTAATATTATTTTTTTTATAGTTTAGAGGCATAAAGTCAATTTTTACCTACTAAAAAGGGACATTGACTTGTAATTGCCTGTTTCCTTCATGTTTTGGCTTTTTTCACTAAAAAGAAAAATTTAATTAAAATACACCTCATTTTGTCACTTACTTCCTCACCCACCACAAACTTATGTTCATCTTCAAGAACACCCACCTTCCCTATTCTCAATCATAGACCTTTCCGATCAGGTTTCACTCTCTGCTCGGTATCTTTGGTTAGAATTTCTTCTTCATTTCGATTTCCATGGATATACAAGTCGGTGAAGCAGCACAACAGCCCAACATGGATGTTTATTCGGTTTCTTCTTCATTTCGATTTCCTTGGTTTGAATCTCTTCTTCATTTCGAGTTCCATGGTTCTACAAGTTGGAGGGCGTGAGTTTGAGCTACATGTGATTGTTGTGGGAGTTGGGAGGAAGATGAACAAAAGTGTAGTGTCACCAACTAAAATCGAAAATCAAAATTGCATCGACTTGGCGCTTGTTCGTGGAAGGGGCAAAATAGTTAACCTACATCGAAGATGAATACAAGTGCATATTTCACTTGTTTTTGTTCGTTGATAATCTTGCTTGGAAACCATCTGGAATCGTTTTGCCCAAACCTAGAATTGTTTTTGTTCCAGATGTTTGTGTTCTTAATTCCTTACCATCAATTGAAGAAGGGGTGAGACACACACACAACAACAAGAAATAGCCTTGTTCTTGACTCGAAGGGGAAGAGACCACCTAAACCCATGTATTTCGATTTCCAATTTCTTTTGGGGCCTACACATAGGATACACAGGTGGTTGCGAAAAGTTTGATTTATTTTGGGATTGTTCATGACAGATCGTTGTGTTCAGTTCACATTCACGAACAAGGGAGGTGGTAGAGACGATGATAGATCGAGAGAGATTGATGACATTGGAGGCTGATGGTAAGGTCTTCGGTGGTGGTCATTGGCGAAAAATGGTTATGAATTAGGGCTTTTCATTGGCACTGACTAGGTGATCATCGATGATGGTCAACGTACCAACGAGGGAGTAAGGGGCAACGAAGGAGGTTTTGGCTCTTGCACTTCTGGAACTGCACTTCTAGAGCGACAATTTAACTGGAGGAAAAGAGCGACATCTTAACTGATGAAGGGGATGTGGCATCTTACTTGATGAGGTGGATTTGTGATTTAATGACATGGCTTTTAATTTGTGCTGACTAGACTGTTAGCCGGTAGTAAGTCAAGGATTTCAAAAATAGTGACATTTTAAAATTTAAAAGTGAAGTTTATACACCTACAATGCAAGAAAAAAATATGAGAGACATTTTAAAACAAAACCTGATAGTTGGTTGGGTTACAATAACAATTACCCGTTAAAATAACTTGAAAACTTCTGTAATGATATTAAAAGTACCATGTTATTGATTTGTTTCTATTAAATGGTATTATATGGTCCACTACCAAACCAAAACCAAAACCAAAACAAGTGACATATAATTTCACTGCCCATACGAGCAATGTATGAGAACACCTCATTAATTATCGTCTCATTTAAGGTATCACATGAGCAACATCTGAAGAAACCTGTCATAAGGACTAAGGTGCATATGGTGCAACTCGTTGAAGCCTACTGAAAGTTAGTTTATCTATTACAATCGTAAGGGTGAGTATTTGGACCGAACCTGACTGAATCAATTCTTGAATCAGACCAGTTTTGCAGAAAGTGGTACTTTGGACCGAATCTGTTGAGGCTCGTATCCGATCCAGAGATCCAAATGCTCACCCATACCCTACAAACAAAAAGAAAAAAAAATGATCGACTTCATAAAATTTTTGCTCCACAAAAAAATAAAAAAAAATTAAAAAATGATCGACTTCATAAAATTTTTGCTACCCCTTTTAAGTTTAGCATCACCAGCAATACTTGAGCTCGTGTAAATTTAGTTGGTCTACACTAGAGAACACCAGTCTTGCTTATTTGTAAACAGGTTCCAGATTTCTTGATCTCTGCTACTTCAGTCTTCAGTTTCATGGGGTTAGTTCTCAAGATTCAAGATTTTAGCATCGATTAATTCTTCAATTCCTATATGTGTTTCTTCTTTGATGGGCAAAATGGTTGGTGGTAGGCACTACTCTTCTTCCTCCATGAACCCTATCACCAGAATAACAAGATCTCCATTCCTTCTAGTCATCGTCTCCCTCACCTGTTTCTTTCTCCTTTTTTACATCTTCACCACTTCTCCCTCTTCCCCCACTAAACCCAACTTCTTACGTACTTCCAATACAAATCAACCGCATCTTAACCCTAATGTTCATTATTCTTTCGTCGATTCACTTGAACTATTCTTGAAAAAGTGGAGCATTTCGGGATCTCGTCATCTTCCCGAAGATACAGTCAGTGATCCGGAGACTGAAGAACAGCAGCAAGTGAGGAAACTAGATGATCTCATCTGGAAAACAGAGACGGCTAGGCTTTACGATGATGAACAAAGTTCATTCTTTTCTCCGCCTGTTAGGGTTTATGTTTACGAGATGCCAGCCAAATTCACTTATGATATGCTTCAGTTATTCCAAAGTACTTACAAAGAAACCTTCAATCTCACCTCTAACGGAAGCCCTGTTCACCGGCTTATCGAACAGGTAGGTTCTTTATTTTCCCAAAAAATGCAATCTTATTATCCGTATCAACCTCTTTTATCTTGATTGTCGATCTCTGCAGCACTCAATTGACTACTGGCTGTGGGCGGATTTGATTGCTCCAGAATCCGAAAGGCTTTTGAAAAGCGTTGTAAGAGTTCATCGGAAGGAGGATGCTGATCTTTTCTATGTTCCATTTTTCACAACTATCAGCTTCTTCTTGTTGGAGAAACAACATTGCAAGACGCTTTACAGGGTGTGAGTGTGTATTCAAGCTTTCATAGCTATTTCTTTCATATGTTCTCTCTATAACCGACCTCCATTTTTTTGCTAAATTTGCTGTAACATATGATTTCAGGAAGCTTTGAAGTGGGTTACTGATCAGCCTGCATGGAAACGATCAGAAGGAAGAGATCACATATTTCCAATTCATCATCCATGGTCCTTCAAATCTGTTCGCAAATTTGTGAAGAATGCAATATGGCTTTTACCAGATATGGATTCCACAGGGAACTGGTATCTTTTTTTACTCTTATAACTATACATTCATCGAATTTATGAATCCCATTTTGTGACCTTTAACTAACTATATCAACAATTTCAGGTACAAACCTGGCCAAGTTTCACTTGAGAAAGATTTGATACTTCCATATGTTCCCAATCTTGATTTATGTGATGCCAAATGCTTATCAGAAAGTGCACCAAGAAGAAGTACACTGCTATACTTTCGTGGGCGGCTTAAAAGAAACGCTGTATGTTTTAATTTTGTTATAATTGAGGGAAAATCAAATTACTTTTTTCTAATATGTTGATTTTAGGGAGGGAAAATAAGGTCAAAACTTGGGTCAGAACTTGGTGGTGCTGATGATGTTATTATTGAAGAGGGAAGTGCTGGGGAGGCAGGGAAAATAGCAGCACAGAGTGGCATGCGCAAGTAAACTTATGTTTCTGAATCATGTGTTTTTCACTTGGGCTGTGTTTTTTTTAGTAAAAATGATGAGTTTTTTTTTTTGTTGTTTGGTATGCAGGTCTGTGTTCTGTTTGAGTCCAGCTGGCGATACTCCATCATCTGCTAGATTGTTTGATGCGATTGTGAGTGGGTGCATACCTGTTATAGTTAGTGATGAGTTGGAGCTTCCTTTTGAAGGAATACTTGATTATCGCAAGGTAAGCATGCCATTTTGCTAAAATCAATGACAATGAGTAATGACTAATGAGAAAGAGTGTTACTATTAGTATTTATGGGTTACATAATCTTTGTTTGTGAGTTTAATTACACTTGTTGTTGCAGATGTCTATATTTGTTTCTTCAAGTGATGCTGTGCAGCCAGGCTGGCTTTTGGCTTACCTGAGAAGTATTAAACCTACTCAGATAAAAGAAATGCAATATAACTTGGCTAAGGTATGTAACTGTTGTAAAGGCTAGTTTAGAAGCATGTTATAACATCTGAGTTTTCTGCAAAATTTATTGATAGATTGCAAAAAATACATGTATGTTAAGCACCATCAACTTTATTTTCAAATCAAGATCAAGATTAATAGTAGCTTAGGTACTAACTACCGTACATTGTTATCAAAAGAAGCTAAGTAAGCCAAAGATCTGGAAGAGGTTTAGTCAACACTTACAAAGAGCATATGAATGCTTCGACTTTGAATATGTGTATCAATGATACTCGAGTGTGATATGCTTTACAAAGAGTAAATTACATAAATTGTCCCTGTGGTCTACCAAAATTGATTCCTATATTCCTATCCTCAATGTTCAACCTTTTTTCTTCCTGTGGTCCCCTACCCCTACACTCCAGAAATGCCAGTGACTCTTAGCAGTCCAAGGACATTGGTTTCTCAGAGCAGCTACGCTCCTCTGGAGAGGTCTATTTAATCTTCAGTTTTACAAAATACTAAAATCGACACAGTTTGATGTGGGAATTGATTTTTCTGCATCATCCACATCCACACCCACACCCACCAATCCATACCTGAAATTTGGATCCCAGTTTGCTCCATTTCATAATTCTAATCTCCCAGACTCCCATCCAAAATTTGACCTCTCGATGTGCAAAACAGTCATTTCTAGAATCAATTTTTGCACCGACTTTTGCTAGTTGGAGAAGATGACCAACTGCTCCTGTTCACATTCTGCTTCATTTTAAGAGAATTCCATTCTTTTTTCAAAATCTTCTCCGATCCAAAAATGGTGTTCAGTTTAAGAAATGGTGCAGTGGGGAAGAAGCCATTGGATCCAAGGTGGGTGAGGCAGTTGAAGAAACCAAACAGGAAAAACTCTTTTTGAAAAAGAGTTCTTGAATAATCTGCTGAGGGTAAAGTTGAAGGACTCACCCCACCCACAATATAATGAGAATAAAAATACAAAATAAGGTTATAATGCTAGTTTGGCAGATTGTAGTTAATGGTGTTAAGTTGAGGGACTAATCCACAACATAAGAACATTTTTTACAAGTTACAAACTTTCTGGACTCCATACAAAGAAAACAGCAGCAATCACTTGGCTCAACTTGATCCCAATAACCAAATATGAAACTAAAATTCTATTTTATATCTCTTACATCACCAGACATGCTATGCTACAAGATCATAACTTTGTATTGCGGTAGTTTATTTTAATAATTATCAGTATCTTTCTGAAACCCTATTTGTCAATTAAATTTCTACTTCATCATTGTATGTGTGGTTATGCCAGTTACCAATGTTTAAACCATCTGTTGCTGCTTGAATTCATCTTGTAAATGCAAAATTAAATAAATAATTACAGTCGGTTTAGAAAGAAAATGTATGATGTTTAAGCTGATATATTTTTGTACCATATGATATGATATGACAGTATACAAGGCATTTCTTGTACTCCCATCCCGCTCAACCTTTGGGACCAGAGGACTTGGTTTGGAGAATGGTATGCCTCTTATGCTTTCTTTACCTGCCTATGCCTATCTGATTACTACTGATATTCTTGTTTGTTTATTTGGTGTGTGTTAACATAACAACAGATGGCTGGTAAACTAGCAAACATCAAGCTTCACTCAAGAAGATCACAACGTCTTGTTAAAGACTCAAGAAGCATCTGCATGTGTGATTGCAAGCGTCCAAACGTTACTGTTACTGTTACTGTTACTACCCCACTGCCCCCCTGATGGGCTTGTCTTCCATTGTTGTTCCCATTTCTAAACACCAAAAGGAACCATTTCCAATATTGTTTTATTATTATTTTTTTTAAAGCATAGGACTATAGGTAACATGTATGTAAAAGATTCAACATTGTTTGGTAAGATGGTTTGTATCCATTATTGTTTCCAAGAGAGTTTTCTTTTGAGAATCAAGATTCATAAAAACAGTGATGATGGACGTGAGAGAATCTAATAAGTAATCATAATATACTAAAGGGATGTGAAGAAGCATCATGGGGACGTGCAACCCACATTCGTCATATGCATTCCATGATTGAATCACACTTTCATGCTTCCCTTTTATTATAATCATTATTATTACAACATATGATTTTATACGATCTCTTCCATAAATAAATTCCATAAAAATATAACCAATGTCCTTCCCAAGATTTAATTAGCTACTACCAAAAAAAAATGTATTTATCAGTATCATCTTCGTTTAACTAAAACAAAACGTTTTTTTTTTCATTATAATGCGTCATGTCAACAACTTAATTTTGTTTGATTGGTTTGGCAGTGACAACTAACAAACATTTTAGTGTTGTAGTGGGTCCCGTTAGGAATATTGTTAGATCTACTCAAATGAAATACTACTACGTGGTCATGTTCGTGTCAAAAAACTTTGTTTGACCAGAAATATAATTCATGTCGAAGTAAATTAGTGTTAAGTGGGCCCATGAGCTTAATTTAAAAAATAATATGGCGGTGATCGTGGGATGATAGAAGTTCGATAATGGTCACCGGTTTTGAAGGAAAGAAGAAAGAAAAGGGTAGTTTTGAAATGACGCGTATATACATGGCTTCACGTTCACATGTGATGTCGGAAGGAAGGCATGGATGACAGCTTTGATCTCAGCTGATTTAGATCTAAATAATCTAATCCTACTCCTCTACTATAATTGCCATTTCATGCTCTCCATTCCCATTCCAATTCCATTAAAGCCCTAAAATTTCACCACTCTTTCATCCGTCTACATTGCATCCTTCAATCATGTCTCTCTAAAAGGTATGTATCACTGCTTTCAACTTTACTCTTTTCAACTTCAATCGCATTTCAACAACTTTCAATTCTTTCAATTACCCTTTTCGAAAAAGCAAATAACTCTGCTTTTGGGTGTTTCAGGATCCAGTGAATTTACTGAAATATGGCGTCCAAGTCATTCAAAGCTACTCGCTCCAATCTATCCATCAGCTCCGATGCTACGGATTCACAGCCTAGCAAACCGCCGTTGCCACCACAAGTCACATTCGCCCGCCGGACTTCGTCAGGGAGATATGTAAATTATTCAAGGGACGATCTCGACAGTGAACTCGGAAGTCAAGATTTCATGAACTACACAGTCCACCTGCCGCCGACTCCCGACAACCAGCCGATGGATGCAATTTCGCAGAAGGTTGAAGAACAGTATGTTTCCAGTTCGCTTTTCACCGGCGGATTCAACGCTGTTACTCGCGCCCATCTCATGGACAAGGTAATCGACTCTGAAATCAACCACCCTCAAATGGCGGGTGCGAAAGGATCTTCCTGCTCTGTTCCTGGATGTGATGCCAAGGTCATGAGCGATGAACGGGGAGCAGATATCCTTCCGTGCGAATGTGATTTTAAGATATGTAGGGACTGTTACCTGGATGCTATCAAGACCGGAGATGGAATCTGCCCAGGTTGCAAGGATCAGTATAAAACCACCGATTTGGATGAACTGGTCGACAATGGTGCCAGGCCGCTTCCACTCCCAGCGCCTTCCGGAATGTCCAAAAACGAGAGGAGGTTGTCGTTGATGAAATCAACCAAATCGGTGCTGATGAGAAGTCAGACCGGGGAGTTTGACCACAACCGGTGGCTGTTCGAAACCAGTGGGACTTATGGTTATGGCAATGCTATATGGCCGAAGGAAGGAGTCATGGAGAATGGCAAAGATAACGATCATGCCGACTCTTTGGAATTGATGAACAAACCATGGAGACCTCTCACTCGCAAGTTAAGAATCCCCGCTGCTATTATCAGCCCATATAGGTACTGCATCTCTTCTCATGTCCCCATCATCTCTGTTCTTATGTTTCCTCTATGGAGCCCTGGTTCACAGTAAGTTATCGTTTCTTTGCAGGCTTCTTATAGTTGTTCGAATGGTTGTTCTTGTACTCTTCTTAGCTTGGAGGATCAACCATCCAAACAATGATGCAATCTGGCTATGGGGAATGTCAGTTGTTTGTGAACTATGGTTCGCTTTATCGTGGGTCCTTGACCAATTGCCTAAAATCAACCCTGTAAATCGTGCAACTGATCTTGCTGTTTTGAAGGAGAAATTCGAAGTACCAACCCTAAACAACCCTACTGGGAAATCGGATCTACCAGGCATTGATATCTTTGTATCGACTGCAGATCCAGAGAAGGAACCTCCACTTGTTACTGCAAACACAATTTTATCAATTCTAGCTGCTGATTACCCTGTCGAGAAGCTTGCATGTTACGTTTCTGATGATGGTGGTGCACTTTTGACCTTTGAGGCTATGGCGGAAGCTGCAAGTTTTGCTAACATGTGGGTGCCTTTTTGCCGGAAGCATAATATTGAGCCTAGGAATCCGGATTCGTATTTTGGTTTGAAGAAGGATCCTTATAAAAATAAGGTTAAATCAGATTTTGTTAAGGATCGTAGGAGGGTGAAGCGGGAATTTGATGAATTTAAAGTTCGCATCAATGGTCTTCCAGACTCTATACGCCGTCGATCTGATGCTTATCATGCACGTGAGGAGATAAAGGCGATGAAGCAACAGAGACAAAAGAGGGATGATGAAGCTATCGAGATTATCAAGGTTCAGAAAGCTACATGGATGGCAGATGGAACTCATTGGCCTGGAACTTGGTTGAATCCTGCTCCAGAACACTCCAAAGGCGATCATTCTGGAATCATTCAGGTAATCCTTGTTCTTCTTGATGATCCAGTTGGTGCTAATCGAAGAAATTGCTTAATTGTAGTGGTGTCTTACAGGTGATGTTGAAACCTCCGAGTGATGAGCCTTTACAGGGCACAGAAGATGATGCTGGAATGCTTGATTTTACTGATGTTGACATTCGTCTTCCCATGCTTGTATACGTGTCCCGTGAAAAGCGTCCAGGGTATGATCACAACAAGAAAGCCGGAGCCATGAACGCTCTGGTTCGAGCCTCTGCAATCATGTCGAATGGTCCGTTCATTCTCAATCTTGACTGCGATCATTACATCTACAACTCACAAGCCATGAGAGAAGGCATGTGTTTCATGATGGATAGAGGTGGAGATCGTCTTTGCTACGTCCAATTTCCTCAAAGATTCGAGGGTATTGATCCTTCTGATCGTTACGCCAATCACAACACTGTCTTCTTCGATGGAAACATGAGGGCCCTTGATGGGCTTCAAGGGCCGGTTTACGTGGGAACTGGATGCCTGTTTCGTAGAATCGCGCTTTATGGATTTGATCCACCACGATCCAAAGAACGCCACCCTACTTTCTGTAGCTGCTGCTGTACTGGTCGGAAAAAGGCCAAGTTTAGCACTCTGGAAGAGAATCGCGCGCTAAGAATGGGTGATTCCGATGAAGAAGACATGAATCTCTCTCTTGCTCCCAAGAAATTCGGAAACTCTACTCTTTTAATTGATTCCATTCCGGTGGCAGAGTTCCAAGGCCGACCACTAGCAGATCATCCGGCAGTGAAAAACGGAAGACCACCTGGAGCCCTAACCATTCCCCGAGAGCTTCTCGACGCATCCACTGTTGCAGAAGCAATCAGCGTGATTTCATGCTGGTATGAGGATAAAACGGAATGGGGGCAACGCGTTGGGTGGATTTACGGATCTGTGACGGAAGATGTTGTTACAGGTTATAGAATGCATAACAGGGGATGGAAATCGGTGTATTGTGTGACAAAACGAGACGCCTTCCGTGGTACAGCTCCGATTAATTTGACAGATCGACTTCATCAGGTGCTCCGGTGGGCTACAGGTTCAGTCGAGATTTTCTTCTCACGTAATAATGCTCTGTTAGCAAGCTCGAGAATGAAGATCTTACAAAGAGTCGCTTACCTTAATGTAGCCATGTATCCTTTCACTTCCATCTTCCTCATCGTCTACTGCTTCCTCCCTGCACTTTCCCTCTTTTCCGGCCAGTTCATCGTGCAAACCCTAAACGTGACTTTTCTCGTCTACCTACTCACGATTACTCTCTGCATCGTGATGCTTGCTGTGCTTGAGGTGAAATGGTCAGGGATCGAGTTAGAAGAATGGTGGAGGAACGAACAGTTTTGGTTGATCGGAGGGACTAGCGCTCATTTGGCTGCTGTTCTTCAAGGACTTCTGAAAGTGGTTGCCGGAATCGAAATCTCATTCACATTGACGTCAAAATCCGGTGCAGATGATGAAGATGATGAGTTTGCAGATTTATACACTGTGAAATGGACATCCCTGATGATCCCGCCAATAACTATAATGATGGTGAACTTGATTGCAATAGCTGTAGGGTTCAGCCGGACAATTTACAGTACAATCCCACAGTGGAGTCGTCTTCTTGGAGGTGTGTTCTTCAGTTTTTGGGTTTTGGCACATCTGTATCCATTTGCAAAAGGGTTGATGGGAAGAAGAGGGAGAACACCAACCATTGTGTTTGTGTGGTCTGGACTGATTGCAATCACCATTTCACTTCTGTGGGTGGCGATCAATCCTCCACAAGGTCAAAACCAGATCGGAGGCTCGTTTCAGTTTCCTTAACTATTATTTCTTGCTTCATTATATTCTTTTTAGTAGAGATGGTAAAACACCATTTTCACATGTTCAATTCTTCTATTGTTTTGTAGCCTTTTCAACTCAAAAAGAGGTTCTTTAGTGTTTTATCAAAGATACAAACTTGTTGTATTTAGAAACGGGCCTATAGAAGTGGGATTTTGCCTTGGAAAACTATGAAAAATATAAGTTTAAATACAAAACGCCTACATTTGTGATCGACTTGAGAAAAAATAACAAATACTATATCTAAAACAGTCTCAAAGTTTAAACCCCGTTTCTTTTGTGATTGGCTTGAAAAAAATCACAAATACATCTAAATTTGTTAA